TCCGTCGGTGAGCTTCGTCGTGTACGACGGAGCTATGAGCTTTGCGGTGGACGCGGCGGCGGAGTTCGGAATTCCGGCGGTTATGCTCTGGACGTTCTCTGCTTCAGTTTCCATGTTGTATTTTTACTACCGTCAGCTTATCCAAAAGGGTTTGATCCCTCTCAAAGGTACGTACGCATTTTTGTGGACGAATGAAATCAATTAAAAAAAAATATGAATATAAAACACGTGAGAAAGAAATGAGGTGGGTATACAGAATATTTTGTTATTAATTAGATACCGTTTTAAATTTTTAGATGATTTTACAAAAAAATATATATATATAATTTTATTCTTAATTAAAAATATTTAATTTTAATAAAAAGTAAAAAATGATTTAATAACAGTATATACGACTTTTTTATATTTTTTAAAATAATTGTGAAAAAAATTAAAACTTACAAAGGGAGGAATAAGGAGCTTAAAACAACTAAAATCCCAACTATATAAACGTCTTCTTGAAATTAGTCATCAACGGACAACATATCTCTGTGGGTCTCACCTGATTTGTTTCTCCGTTTTCTTCTGTAAGTAAACGTCCTAATACGTACAAAACAAAATGATAATCCAAATTCCAAGTCCTAACATGATTGTTTAATGTGTGTGTGTGTATATGTATGTATGTATGTATGTATGTATGTACGTATGTATGAATTTTGGCAGATGAGAGTTACATGACAAATGGGTACTTAGACACAGAGATAGAGTGGATACCTTCGATAAGGAACATAAGAGTGAAGGATCTGCCAGGCCTCTTCTCCACAACGAAGCTTGAGCATGACCCTATCCTTCAGTTCGTCCTCCACGCCATGGACAGAGTCAAGCTCGCCTCTGCTATCGTCATCAACACCTTCCACGACCTCGAGCATGACGTCATCCTGTCCTTGCAATCCCTCCTTCCCCCGGTTTATCCGGTCGGACCGCTCCATCTCCTCGTTAACCGTACCATCGACAACGACAGCGAGATCCGACGGTTGGGATCCAATCTGTGGAAAGAAGACACGGAATGTCTGAAGTGGCTCGACACAAAGGCGCCGAGAAGTGTGATCTACGTCAACTTCGGGAGCATAACGGTGATGTCGGAGAAACAGCTCGTGGAGTTCGCGTGGGGTTTGGCCGGAAGCGGAAAGGAGTTCTTGTGGGTGATTCGGCCTGATCTTCTCGGCGGAGAAACGGCGGTGGTTCCGCCGGAGTTCGTGGCAGAGACGGCGGAGAGGGGGTTGCTGGCGAGTTGGTGCCCTCAGGAGAAGGTTCTGTCCCATCCGGCCATCGGAGGGTTCTTGACTCACTGCGGGTGGAACTCGACGCTGGAAAGTATCTCCGGCGGAGTTCCGGTGATATGTTGGCCGTTCTTTGCCGACCAGTCGACGAACCGAAGGTTTTGTTGCGACGAGTGGGGGATGGGAATGGAGATCGGAAGTGACGCGAAGAGGGAGGAGGTGGAGGCAGTGGTTAGGGAGTTGATGGACGGAGAGAAGGGGAATAAGATGAGGGAGACGATGGAGAAGTTGCGGCGCTTGGCGGAGGCGGCAACTACTCCGCCGTCTGGTTCGTCGTTCGTCAACTTCGAGACGGTGGTCGATAAAGTCCTTCGCCGTCGCGTCTAGTTACTTGGCTTGGTCCAATGTGAAATGTTTTGTACCGCTGAAAATTATTTTAAGGGGATAATGTGTATTTTATCAGTATTCGAATACTGGCCTTCATGACTATCCCGCTGAACTTGTATTTATACTCTACCATAAGAAAACATACATAATAAAAAAAAATGCAGCCTCGTCAATTTTGAAAATCTCAATTTTGTTTACACATTCTCCTCTATTATCCAAAATTTTAAACATTCAATTTAATTTACTAAGATTGAAATCACCTATTTCAAGATTAGTAAAAATAACGTAATTTTCTCTTTTTTATTTAATATTATTTATTAAAATATTGGTATTTGATAATTTTATATAAAAAATGCATGATACATATTACATAATTTAGTGCAGGAATATGTTTCCGACTATGTTAAAATATAGCAACCCGGAATATGCAATCAATAGGGGCCTCTATTATATCTAAAGCCTGTAGGATGGTATATATGGCCCAATGTCCCAATACTCTTTATGGGCCGATTTTGCCCAACGGAGAGTTTTACATATATTCGAAATTTAAATATCCTTTAGAATTGATCAGATTTTAGAATCTAAAACCTAAAACAATTTGAATTCAAAATTAAATATCTCTAAAAACTTGTATATAAGTGTGATAAAAATATTAATAAAATATGGTCCATTTGATTTGAAAAGGGTGGCCATTTCACTTTTAAAAAAAATAATAATAAATGGCTATTTAACATCTCTGCGTTTGACCCGGTAATCATTTGCCTGCATCCACAGAAAGGGTCATTATTGGAGCCTTAAATAAAAAGTTATTTTTTATATATATAAAAAATCTAGATCGTGTGAACCGTGTACATGCATAGCGCGATGAATCCTACATCATATGGTTAGGAATTTATATGATGCAATAGGCATATCTAAGAATAAAATACCCTATATCTACTCTTTTTATAGTAAATAATTATAATGGAAAATGACCCTCACGTAATGTATGAACTTTCAAAGCATGCAATAAAAACAATTGCAATCAACAGTTTATATAACAAATAAAGAGTTTGGTATAAAGGAATATATATAATTTAAGAATAACCTAATTTGACTCCATTATTCATAAATTTTTTAAATTTTAGATATTTTAAAAAATAAAATAACGTCGGCTTCCAGTCTGAGAGTTGGGGCGGTCGGAGTCCGGCCCGAAATACCGTACGGCAGGTTCCCACCGTTATAAAAAAAAGAATAAACCAAAAAACTACTATCCAGATAATTTATATCTCATAAGATGATAACAAACTTAACAAAGGGTAGATTAGTAAACATATCTATTAAATAAATGATTCAATTACTAGGTAAAAGATATATATTTGGGTAAACAAAATCTTAAAATCAAGTTCTATAATTTTTTATGGGATAATTCCATTTAAAACAATGTACTTTTCTCTCGTCGCAATTTAAACCCTGTACTTTTTTTTGATCCAAAAAAACATTGTACTTTTAAAAATTGGCAATTAAAACTCTATACTTTTAAAAATTGGCAAATAAAACCCTGAACGAAAAAATATATTATTTAATACTGACATGGCATCCTAGTCATCTGCCACATCATCAATCCCTAATATTTAATAATATTAATTAATAAAAAATAAAAATAAAATAATAAAAACAAAAATAAAATTTTAAAAATTATACACATACATATATAATGAAATGATATACATATATACACATATATAAACATATTTATATATATACACACATATATATAATACATATATATATATATGTTTTATATGCATATGTGGTATATGTATTTTTTTT